GCGGTGGGACCGCTGCCTCAAATGCGCCCGCGCTTTTCAAGCAGCGCCACGTGGCAACCGACAGCGGAGGGTGGGGCTTGCGGACGAAGGTGTGAGTTGCGGGTCGGACGAGCTCCTTGCGCCTTTGTCGCGCACTTTCAAGCGGCAAAAGGGGCGCGACATCAACACTTGTCCGCCTGCCTACTACCCCGGGATGGAACAGGCGAGCGCGCCTAATCGCGGAGCGTGCCTTTAATTTCAAGTGGTTACCATAGAAACTCTGGAGAGGTGAAATTTTTAGCGTCACCTTCACATGTGGTCCCGTTCGTGTCGTTGTCTGCCGAGGTCCTCGAGCGGGCGCCAGCAACGTCTCCATTCGTCCCTGTCGCGTGCAAGAGTTGTCCAGTGGACCCTCCTCGCTCGAGGGACACGATGTCCTTCATTCCTTTCGTTCAGAGCTTTCGTGAAGAAGTCTGACCATCGGGCCGGCGGTCGTCCAGGTGTTCGTCCCGAGGTATGCAGTCGGTAACCGTTGTGGTCCGGCGGCCACCGTAAAATTGTACGACGTAATCATCAGTTCCTCGCGAAAACGGCAGTCCCTGATTTTCGATCGTTGGCGTAGTTCGGAACTCCGGATTCCCCTCTGCACTTGCGTGTATAGGGTTACTCCTAGCATCGTCCTCTCGACAGCGCGTTGGATAACGCTGACCGCATGCTCGTCCTGCCTGCGCAGAGTCCAAGTCTCTGAGGCGTAGGTTAGGGCAGGAAGGACAGCGGAATCGAAGAGGTGGGCACGGAGCCGGATGTTCTTCGTCTTCTTCACTACTCCCTCGATGTTCTTGTACGCTCCCCAAGCCGCTCGTTTCCTCCTGCTCAGCTCTGGAGCTAGGTCGTTCATCATATTGATTTCCCGACCTAGGTACACGTAGCTGGAGCATTCGGTGATGTTCGTTCCGTTGAGCGTGAATGGGGCATCAGGAACCAATCCGTTTCTCATAAACATCGTCTTCGTTAGGTTCAGCTGTAGACCGACCTTACCACAGGCGCAGCCAGCATTCAGCCGCTTGCTCGATGTTCGGCGTTATAAGAACGATTTGTCAGTAACGCGATGGGATGCTGACCCTCGACCTTCACTCCTATGTATGTCTTCCCTTCCAGTTCACGCACGATATTCTAGGAGTGGCGCTGAAGAGTTGGAGATGTATTGTTCAACTTCTTTCCTCGTTAATGTGATTCTCTTTCAGGCCAATGAAGATACTTGCGCATGCCATCTGACGGCACACGGATTCCATGTGCTGAGTAGAATGCCCTGGTTCGCCAGTGATCGACAACTTCTCCTCGCCAAAGAGTTGACAGCATTTGGAAGTCGATGAAAAGACTGGCTCTGCCTGGCTAGATATTCATGGTAGGCGCCCCCTGATTTTCTCGTTTCAGTGGGCACAATTTGTCGGCAAACTATTTTGAGCAACTTGTGTTTTGTTTGTTTGTTGAATTTTTTGTATATTCATGTGGCCTCACAAAAACTGGTGCGAATGAGAATGCTGAATTATAGGCAGAAAGGCTTCGAAAAGAATTCGAATCTGTGATTGCTAACAAAGGGAAAATGGTAGATTAAAGTGGCCTTTTGAAATGAAATGTGTATCACCTGAGAAATCGTTTGAGCAGGGATCTATCTGCATTCTGCTGACTTCTCTGGTCCAAACGCTACAGAAGTTGTTGTGATGGGAGGATAAATAAAGGATAAAGCATTTGCCGTTGATCAATCCCGTTTTGGGATGCGGCACGCATTCTACTTCCATTTGTACATTCGCAGTGGCATTTGAATGCGATGTGGCCTATACAATGACTTGCGGGGGCCAGCCGATGTTCAAGTCAGTGTTTTTTTTTTTTGTTGCTGGGAGGCAGACACAATTGCAACAGAAAGCAATGATGTATTCGGCGCCTTTGAATGTGGACGCGTGGTCTAAGTGGATACTGGTGGTCCCTAGTCGGCAACACCAAGGGTTTGGGTCCTTGATGTGCGGTTTTGTTCACTTTTTCAAAGGTATGCTCAATGCGTTTGCGGACGGCGACGGCACATTTTACGGTACCGTTGGCGGTTGGCGAAACTGCTGTTCGCGCAACAAATTGGATACCGTTTCAGACAATTCAGATCGTAGCCAGTGTTGATTCAGAACGTCTTTTTCCCCCCAAAAAGATAAAATTCGAATCGCAGATCTGCAAAGAGGGACAGAATGGTACTAATTGAGTAAAAGTCTTTTAGCCCTTTGACATGAGAACTCTCATTCTTGACTGCAGATAGGAATACTGCATGGGGATCGTTGCCTACTCCAGAGCTAGTCCATGACGCAGCTCTTATTCCTTTCTGCTGTCACTTAGATCGGTTAGAATCGCTCCAACTGTATCTTGAAACTTATTGCTAGGGAACTTAGGATTCACCCGGCTACTAGCCTGAGTCTTGTCTCCCAGCGTCGTTACCAGTAGAGGGAACCTTGGCACAGTGGCGACAGTTTGAGTGGGAAAGTCGGCAATTGGAGTATTTTTGTGGTTATCTTCCGCCCGAGTTAGATCCCTAAGTCACTTTCTTCTATGTTTTGGACGAAGCTGTTGGTTTCCTTCATTGTTACACAACGTGCATTTTTGATCGTACGCAGAATTCTTGTGTATGTCAATAATAACAAAACACTGATTTAATTTTATTAAGTCATCAATGTTTCCCAACGAGACTCTATTCTTTTGATTCATCATCCTTACGATGGGCATCCTTGAGAAGCCCAGTGGCCGAGATTTCGATCATAGTACGAATTATGATCATTTCCTTCTGTACTGATGACGGTATTACTGCAGTAGTCACCATCCGATTCCTTGCAGATTGTGTACGGCTGTCCAACCGCCATATCGTTGTCATACCTAGAAAATTAAGTAAATTATATGGAATTAGGAAACATATATTCCATCCCCGTTTATGGTTTGTGCACACCATTTAGGGAGGAAATCTAGGTTTGCGTTCTGAACAGGTTACCCAGATCCTCCTCCCTTCTGAAAGTGGTTATTTGGCCACGGGCTGTTCCGGAGGGACGAGGCGTTTACCTGCACATTGAGTCGTTCTCAGGAGTTAGGCATATTACATTCCAATTCTACTACGGTTCTGGACGGCGTAGTGCTTGGCGCATTCTAGATGGGAAGTAATCGACCCTAGATGCTTCATCCCTTGTGCTCTATCTTTTCATCGAGGACTATCTACCTCTTTACTGTCCCACTGCTCGAACCGAGCCGGATTTCTATCGAAAGTTGTTCATGACTGTATTTTAGGCCATAAAGTGGCCCCAGAGGAAGTTCGTCGTAAAACACGAATACCACATTCGTTTGGCGCAAAAACGCCTGGTGCCAGAGCGTACGCCGGCGCCAAGGAGGGCCAGACGTGTGGTATCAGTTGGATCAACAAATTTGCTGGACATTTCGTCAGGTTTGGTTTGATTCGTTGAACATGGATATCACGTTAGCTCGTTGTGAATGAGCTTGTATTCTGCGCTACACGCGTCGGCTTGAATTCAGTGTGATAGCGCCGGCGCCTACGGTGCAGGAGTCGAACGCTTTTGCATTTTTTCAGTGGAGTTTAATTTTCGGGGTTTCTAGGTGAAATAACCCTGAATGCAACTTTCTAGGAGAATTCCAATCGATGAACAAATATTTCGATGAGAACGGCTCAGTTTTGAGGAGGTGGGCAGATAAGGGATCAAGGAGTGCCGGTTAATCTTCCGGGATCTGTACAAAATTTGCAAGTGAATCAGTTAAACTAGGTCATGGGGCCTTGATTTCTGACTGGAGGCACATAACTAGGGTTTGGAAATTGGCGTGGTGGGAGACGCGGCAACTACGGCATTCATCAGCAGGTGAATGGATAGAGTGGTGGGTAACCCTGATCTCGAGCTGCTTCGCGGATTGAAAATCCTAAAAGAGACGCTGGAAGCCGCCTCGACCGCATTGCAAGCCTCATCCGTAAGCTCCACCTTCCGCTGTCAGCCGCAACTTTGGTGCTGTCGAAAGAGTGCGATCTCGATGCGATGCTGGCGGTGCCAGCGCTGCAGCCGCGCAGCTAGCATGGAACTAGCTCGGAAAACTGTCACAATGCTCAGTTATCTATACCAGTAAATAACTCGATCGGTGGTTAGCAGGGTTCATATTTGAGCGGGTTGTAAATTTGGGGCTTCAATTTCGCTTTTCCTATACTTTGTTTAACGTATGATATTGCTTCAATTCTTTGTGATCGAAAGGTGTTTGCCTTATCAATATCAATAATAACGGACATCAATGTCTGGTAGAGCCTGGCTTGCTGTGGGAAAATTTTACTTTCAGGTTTTTATTCCGCTATCACACCAGCTGAAGGTTCACAAATCTACGACAGTTGTTTAGGAATCGATCATGTCGTCGGCTATTAACTATGTTCGATTAGCGCTTTTAGTGTATCTTGTTCGCAACTCGCCACTGTACGGAAGGTGTTGACAACTATCTCTTGAAAGGGTTTTCACCAACTTGTTCTCAACTCACCAAATCTCAAATCGGTGGTGGAACACCTGATCAGGTCCGAGCCGTGGCGGGATGTGCGGTACAGGATCGCGATGGTGAATGATACGATAGGCGTACGGAAACTGTAAAACCAACCCCTTAGAATTAAAGTACCACTTATTAAATGGAGAGGACATACCGTAGCCTCATGCCATGTGGCGAAGTCGTAGTCGCCTGTTCGAGGCTGGCCAAATGTGACCAGTCGTAGATTTTCTGGCGTAGTCATATTCCACTTAACTAGGTATGAGGCACAGATGGAAGCGATCGACGCACCAAGCGAATGGCCGGTCACCTAAAGGAGGACGATGTATTGGATCTATTTCTCGGTATCCTTGAACGCCTGTAGGCCTTATTGGTTTTAGGCTGTTCCATTTGTAACACCATGACTGTAGTGCTTAGCTGTGAGAAGCAAAGCTGCAGTCTAGTGTATTTTTCTCGTAGGCTTGAAAAATGATAAGTTCCCTAGTTCTGTAAGACTTAGTGAGACACAAAATTTTCTTGCACCTGTAGTTTCGATTTCCCATTTTTTTACTACTGAATAATCGTAAGGGAGAACATGGCTTCTCCGCTTGTGACGGCTCGTTTTTCCGAATATGTGAATTAGCGAGCCAATAAGCGAGTCTCCGTCTTGAACTCGTCGAGGATCTTATGATTTTGTAGGCCAAGAAAACTCGGAAAAGGGACGATGTTGAAATTAAATGAAATTTTTGAGCTGTGAGGAGGGTGAGCATAGCGTGTTTACTACATCCGGAGCAGGATTCGTAACCCTTACCGCAGGCTGCTAAAATAAAACGCTCATGGTAAAGAAAGAATCAGAACTGAATTGATGTGGTAATCACAGTCTATGAAAGAAGGGATGCATGTGGAGAATAAATGGAAGGAAAATCGTGAATTGCATAAAAAATACGAACCTTCTCGGTCTACGCTGCAGAGAAGTCTGACGATGAGAGGCAGGCACCCAGATGAGAGATAATGTGAGTTGCGGAGAGGGATTAGAGAGAGCATAGCAATGAACACTGCACGCAGATGGGAATATTGGACGGTGGGTGGAACCTGATAGTTTTGGTGGGATTTGATCAGAGTATCCAGGGCCTCGCGTCTTACCATTAGTGACATGTTTCGATGTGCAAAAATGGCACGGTTCTGCAGTGGCGGATCACACATTTCCATCCACAGGAGCAACTATATGCTTCAGTGAGGCTAAGCTGGTGCTACCTTTAAGAGCTCGTGTAGCTTTGCTTCTTTTTTTTTGCCATTTCTCGTTTTTTTCCTATAGTTTTTGAAGAAAGTTATGCTTAAATACGCTGTCATTTTTCAACGTGCCCTTCCCACCATACACAACTTAACCACTCGTCGTTTGTGAAGAAAGCTATCCATCAAATAGCGCAATTTACACATCACATTTACTTAAAATGTGCTTGTCAATGGTCGTTAATGCAGGAGAGGGGGGGTGGGGAGGGTCATATTTAAAAGTTTTCCTCGACGCTGGTCCGCTTGACCCTGGTCCAGAATCTTAGTTGCAGGCTTTGATAATTATTTTTAAAACTCACATAGAATTTGTAGTTAGGATATTGGAATTTGAGCGTCCGCACTTGCTGCTCAAGCCCACCATTCCACAGGAAGAAGAACGCATCATGGAAGTATTTGAACAGGTGACCGTTATTGAAGAATGGTACTCGTTTTCTGGAGAAAGAAGGCAATGGAGAGTTGGTAATCGCTTCGGCGAATAGGCTATTAAGCGAGGCAGGCGAAGAAGGCGAGAAACATGCCGGTTACGTGAGTAGTTCTCTCAGTTCTAACGTTCGTGTCAACGCCTAAGTGCTCATTAATCAAATATTTCCAAGGAAAAGACGTAACGCATTAAAACTCACACGCGAAGAAACTCATAATTTCGTCGGTCATTTGGTAACTGCCGTCTGTCCCTCGAAAGGCGATAATAATCGCTTTTTCAACAGGATCCCAAGCTGTATATCCATGACATTTGGTATCTGAGCAGAATTTAAAGGTACTGATCAGAATAGCTGAAAGGCGGTGCGGTTTTAATGCTGTCACTGGACATCATTGGTGAAATAGACCCCTCTGCGCGCTAGAGTGAGGTTGACCCGAGGTGAACTAAGCGTCGAGGAAGCTTCAAGCTTGCTCGATGTGGGAGAATAGTGCGGCGAAGGAATGTAGGCGCGGAGAGCGACGGCTTGCGCAGTGGCGAGAGTAAATGTCCAGGTGAGCGTGACTGAAAGGGCGAAAATTCTTGAATCCTCGACCGATTTTCACCCTGGTTAAACTTAAACTCTTTCTCCTAGGACCCCTACACCGTTGACGTTCGATCACGATTGAAACCGCAACGACTTTCAGTCATCATGCCAGCTGCTGTTAGAGGTTATAAGGTAACTGTTCGATTCGACCTGGCTTTGTTTGTCCGAAATTTTATGAAGCAAAAAAACGAGATCCTAGATCAGTCCAGTAGTATAGCCGTAAGTGTGTGTGGTGTGGTGTCTGTGTGGTGTTTGTTTGTCTGACCGGAAATTCATATCTTCGTTCCCCTTGGTCCAGAGCGCTCAAACTTCTAGGGTATATAGGGAACTGGACGTGAACACTGATGATGGGTGCGCGGAAGTGATAAGTACTGATAGAAGCTGATAACGGGCGTCAGAATGCCGATGTCACCAACTTCCTTACGCCGTTCGCGTTGGCAGTGGACTGCTAGCACTCATGAATATTGTGTAGGGTAGGACTGGGACCCAAATGGTGAGCGAAGGAAAGTGATAGAAATGATAAGGGCTGGTATCATATATGCGATATACGGTAAGGATCTAAAAGCCAGCATTTATGAGTGCTTTTACAGTTGAGAAGTTTAGTACTAAGCCCTTAGAGAAAGCATGTGACGTCATTGGCCGCTTGCGATCTCATGAACCGTGTGACCTTCACTTCGGCTAACCTTGTGCTTAACCGAGGGACTGGTGAAAGATGGTGCGAAATGGTCTACTGGTACTACTGCAACCAACTGGTGATCTGTCAGCTGACGAACTGATTAGGGGCTGTAGAACGTCGTTTGGTGGGTGGTATGGCAACCTTGGAAAAGAACTAATAGTCATCCACAGAACAGGAGCCCAAAATTGGGTACAATATTCATAAGGCACATGCGAATTCATGTGGTACATCTCACCAGGCATTTCAGTTGCGCACTTCACGTCGATGGTCTTGTAGAAGGCAACATGGGGGAGCTGCGATCTGAATTTTCTGCCATAAAGTTTAATAAATTTGTGAAAGACACTAAGCAGCTGTCTAGAATAAAGTTGGAGGTTTACCTTAAACATTTTTCGGAGTCGAAGGGAAAACACCAGCCACCAGGGGAGTGATGTAAGTAGCGAACAAACGTCTCGTTGTAGGCGTAAGCTGGATCAGGGAGTCGTGGACAGTTCAGCGACAACTGTAAATCAGTAAAGATAACTAAATATATATTGAGAAAATGCTCATCATCTTGGAGTATCTTTCTCGATTGGAGAACTTCGCCCAGCATTCGAGTAATATCACATCTACCAACTGTCTCCCATTAAAGGCAAACCCCGAGGCCAGAGGCAGGCCGGGATTAGCCCGACTAGTAGGAGGATACCACGAGGGAAATTGTAAGGTCCGTACCTACCTAGATCACTTCCAAGCTTCGTCGCGAAAATCGCGCGGTTAGGGCGCTAATCCTTACAACCATCGACCCCATCCAACGCTTCCCACCCACCGCGAGAGTGGTGAGATCAGCGTGCATTGATGTAGAGATCAGCGTGCTCTCTCAAACGACGTGCTCTCTCGCGTATTTTGTCTTCTTTGACCGCCCTGTCTCGCCATCGTACCACATCCGACCTTATTGAAGGTTAAGGCCTTAATTTCAGCGTTCCAAAGATTTCTCTTGCTTTCCTTCCACTTTCAGGTCGTTCCGCAGCTAAGCTATCACTACAAGCGCTAGCACCAGTTTAATCCCGGAGTTTGCCTTTAACTGCTGCGCAAATGAGTACCTTCTGTCCTTGGATGCCATTTTTATCCTAATGACAAGCAAAAACTTTTATAAACCTGTGGCCTCAAAGGGCAATTCAATCGGCTGCGGCAGCCTGACGCTCGGAGACGAATTCCGGGATCGACCCAATGTTTTACTATGCTTACAAGTGACATCAGAGATGTAAATTGTAACGCCAGCAATGAAAAGGGAAGAAACCGTCGGCGAGGGTGGAAATGGACCCGCCTCCAGTAGAAGCATAACGAAGCAGCATTAATTTGTGTGTGGCATCTACGGTGCATCGTGGGCCTTAGCATCTCGGCCCTTTTCCAGGAAAAGAATCCGACTAGACGAGATACTTTTTGAAAGCTGTTCAAAGGCATTCAAAGGCAAGGGTCATAATGGGATTGATGTGCTATTTTCTTCGAAAATTAGACGACAACTAGAATGAGGAACTGTGTTGGGGAGAAAAAAGCCTTTTAGAAAACAATGTAATTCCCCTTGGGAGGTCGGTCGCAAAATGTTGGAGAGACACAGCGCTACGAGGAGAGGGAAAACGCAAGAGAGTACGTACTAGTATTTTGCGAGGGCGCAACGCTTAGTATGCCGCGACTGGTGCAGATGGCAGCGCTCAAACGAAAGCCGCCCTCGAGGTCCCTACTGGAAAGATTGCATCGCGGCTTGTGAAAAGTCGATGGCTCAGAATCATTTAAGGTTCAGCTTGCTTGAACAAATTATGCACATAGAAAGCTATTCAGAAAGTTCAGTAGACAGCTGATACCGCTCACAGTATTTGGCGTGCCCGTCGGGCTGCCTTCTCTACCCGACTCTCCGACTTTGTCTCAACTTTGAAATCACGTTTCTATCATCTTTATTTTTATACCTAATTTATAGTTTCTAACTAACAATCTATGAACTCTCACCGTAATGGACGTTTTGCATGCGCTCGAATCTCCACATACACTTGTTTCAGTACACCATCTGAAATTCATACTTATCGTACTTATGTAATTTGGCATGACAACTTAAGAGCTGCCAACTTACGTCTTCTTTTGCTGAACGCACTGAAGGCACTGTTGCAGATCGTCAGCGAAGATGCAGCTCAAGAAAATGAGGGCAAGCAGAGCTCTTGCCCACATCTCAATCCTTCTTGGTTGTACCCTGAAACAAGTAGAGGAAACTGTGATGATTCTGATTGAAAGGAGAAGACAGAGCAGTGTTGCGTTAAGTTTTTTGCTTCTTGTTTTTATGCATTTTTATACGAGCGATAATTACTCTACGCGAGAAGAGTTCTCAGAGCGTTTTACGACGGAAACTGATGGATGAAAATATTATAAATACGTTGTCACAAAGGTGCTCCACGGTATACGCGAGGGGAGTACTTTAGCTGGTACTCAAATCTTTGCCCATGTTCTAAAAGTCTTTATCAGTGCATCGTGGAAGCCTATTACATCGTTCCTCAACTTCTGTGATCAGGTAAAAATTATTAGTAGTACCACTTCTTGTCGGCAGAGTTTACGATTGGAAGTCAGCCCGTTAGAATTAAGGTAGAGGTGGTCAGTGATTCTGAAATAAAGAAGAACCATGAGAAACGGCCCAGAACTGAAGAAATGATGCTCCATTTTTGCCCGTTGATTTCCGCACTGATGCGACTCTCATCAGTGCTGCCCTCTTCAAAGCTAAAGCTCTCTGCTGAGCGGTTGGGCTTGCGGTGAGTGGCTACCAGGGTGAATATCGGTCGAGGAAATCCTCGACAGGGGGGTCGTATTTGTCAGGGTGGGTCATGGGGGTCGTACTCGTGGGGGTCAGTAACGTCAGTGGCATCGTGGTGCAGATAGGAGGAGGGTGTAGCGCAGCAGAAAACAAGGATATGAGGAAAAATGATATAAAATATTCTTTGCAGGTTCAGTCGCTCCGTCCTCTACCTTCGAGAAGGAAGTATTTGAAAGTATACAAATGAAAGTGCATCTTTGCAAGGAACAGGGTCACATGTGCACACGCGCTGCAAAGGCATTTCCTCTATCTACCGCCGCTCCCTCTCCCCTAATACCTCGTTGAGAATGACACTGTTGTTAGGGACGCTGTCGCAAAAACGACAACCGTGAAGGAAAGCCCTGGGCAAATGAAGTTGTTCTTCAGGTTATAGGAGTTACGAAATGTGTTTACTACAATGCAGCTTTGTCAACTGGTCATGATCATATAACACCTTCCAATCGATTCTGCAACTTCGAGTGCATGGCCTATACCCAGACAAAATCGGATGATGACGATTGCCCCTTTTCTTATTGCTTATGTTGGAAGAATGTATTCTAGACACATTTCGAGCGTTGCCAACGAATTACACTTGCAATGGTGAAGAAGGGAGCGGCTTTTTGAGCGGCCGAGAATCATCCTCGATAGATCCTCGACGCAAATATCTCCTCAACTAAAGGATGTAGAAGGAAGCTAAACATACTGTTAGAAAGCGCAAACCTTCCGCTTTCCAAAACTTCTTCTTTTTCAAGGTTCTACAAAATTAGAGATATTGCCTTTTAAGTGGCAAAAACTCGCATGAAAAATTCAGCATCCTCGACGCTGCCTCGACAAAATTTGAGAGACCCTATCTCTTCGAGTGTAAAGATTTTAGATCAATTTCAATATTGCCCGGTAGTAGCAAATCCAGCTCTATCTAACCCTACCACATACTGCTCCAAAGGTTATGAAATGGGGGAATGGAACCTTTTCATCGAGAGTGTAGATTTCGACGGTTTCGAGCGGGGTTTCGGCAAATCTGACCCACGGATAAACCGCGCTGCAACTGAATGCTTTGCTGTACATTGATGGAACTCGCTTATTCACATCAAATCAAAGTTAGAGGGGTCGTATCAAGACCCCGATCTGAGGGGGGGTCGTACTGAGTGACCACGTCTTCGACACGATTTTCACAACGGTGGCAACCAGTGGTGCGCGTGCCGTGTCGATAGCGCCGCGAGAACGTCCACACTAGATTGCTGGAGACATACCTTCGGATGTCGCCGGTCCGCACCTTCAAGCCGTCCTCCCGTCTTCCCAACTGCTAGTTCTCCCCTTTCCCGAACTTCGACCTTATTTTGGGATTTTCCTTTTTGCAACTTTGAGGCTTATGCAGATATAACAGCTTTGCTTCAGGGACATGCCCCAGGATCAAATGGTGTGGTTCTTGCACACGAATGCGAATGTATTGGTGCGATATGGGCCGGCAGTGAAGAAAAAAGGAAAGAGTCCGTCGAAAACGCAGGTTGAGGGCTCACTCACCTTCCTAATCGGCTGTGCTAAGGAATGAGAGACTAAGCGCGGAGAGGAGAGTATGAGGCGAGAGAGCGCAACAGATGAGAGAGCGCCAGACAACAGCCTGATAAAGAAAAAAAATTGCAGCTGCAGCAGCTTCACTTTGCAAGGCCCTAGCGCTCTTGTCGGGTGATTTCCGTGCACGGGAATGCCACATACGTATGTGATTGTCCTCTAGGGGTCGAAGGGAATCGTTCACGCGACTTTTACCCAGGTTGTGCATTTGGCTCGTCTATTTGCACCCTGGGCTTTGCAATTACGCGCAGACCATAACCACCACACATACTACAATTCTTCCTTAATTATATGCTGTCATAAAAGATTTGTTATATCAACTGTCACTATCGTGTTAACTGTAATTTTTCAAAAAAAAAAACAAATCAAAAATCGGGATCAGTACCAAGACATCAGCTGTGGATGAGTGAAGATAAATGCTTTTGGGAAAAACGCAGGCAACAGGGCAACAGGTGAGCGCAAAATGTTTCGCTGGCTGGGAACTTTTATCAGCAACTTCCCGATAAAAAACGCATCGTCGCGCCCAAGTGAAATTGCTCGGTAAAACGGAGCCGCTAAAGGAACACCCTTGATGATTAGGTCTGTAGACCTATTTCGTTTACTAACTGGATTTTTTCAATGTCATCTCACAAATAATCAGGTGTTAGGATATGTTCAGAATACAGTTGAAAAAACGAAATAAAGCGCCACATGGGCTGATCATTGCACCAGCCCTTTTGGCGTTTCTGCTGGGGCCGTATGCTGAATGTTGGGGAGGGGATGGGGTCCCCGAGGTCGACGGACTACTTCAACTCGGTCGGTACGGTAGGAGAGTGATGACGAAGTGGTGCAGCTGGTCCAGCAGCTCCGCCAAAAGGGCTGGTTTGCTTACCCCAGGACTAAGCCTTGGAGAGGGACGGACCGCGTCCGTCCTCTCTTTAAGGCTTAGTTCCTGAGGTAAGCACCAAATTGAGGCGGTTTTAAGGACCGAGTTGAAGTAGTCCGTCGACCGTCGGGGACCCCATCCCCTCCCCAACATTCAGCATACGGCCCCAGCAGAAACGCCAAAAGGGGTTTGCTTACTTTACAGAACTGTGTGTTCGCGTTTCTTTCTAGGAGAAGCTATACAATCGTTGCATCCTAAAGATGGTTTTCAGCCCTTTTGCGAGACAATTCAACCCAATCTGTTTCAAGAAGACCACTTCTGTCTGAATTAACGGGTGAAACTCATAGAGAATCTTCAAGCTACCGAAGATACATAATTTACAAGAGGATGAGTAGGTTTCTTCTGTTCAGCTTGATTTAATCATATTGTTTGTTGCAGCTCTGAAGATTTGGCGATCAGTCAATTAGATGATTCGGCGATTCAGCGATGTAGCGATTTTCGCTTCTTCTGATCGACACAAACTCTTTTTTCGCCGATTCGCCAGGACTGCGGCATCTTTTCAAACGTGAGCTGTGAAAGCGGCCTGAGCGAGGCACACTGTGTGTTGTGTACCTACACATCTTTGTGCAAATTTTGTAAATAGATCGGATCTCAGGCGAGCGTTCGCTTTGCTAAAGATGGTTTTCGGAGGTAATTACAAGTATTCATTAAGTTGCTCATGATGATGTTCGATCCTCTTTAGCTTAAATATCTCAAGAGTGGTGCGAAAACAATTTGAAGTGGTGATAGTTTTGGTTGCTGCGCAATATGTATGTGATACGTCACTATCTCTTCATTTTTTGCAGATTCAGCTTATTTCTTCATTTTGGCTACAGAAATAAGCTTGGGAGGGAGAGGGGAAGCATATTGTTCACGCATTCCGCATATCGTTACCGTATAGAAGGTTCTGTCCCATCTTTTCATAACACTTCGCGATGTTTCATTGCACGCCTACCATGTTCAAGAATCATACTCCCCTCCCTCGAGCCGCCCCCGAGCCGAGGGCTATTCCAATAACTGCTGGTGAATACATTGGCACATACAATACCCTTTGAATTTCGTAAGTGGCTGTTCCGTAAAAACACTGGGGGGGGGGGGGAAGCAACTGTTGCATTCTGTCGATGCGGAAATTTTCAGAATGGGTACAAACATGGTTGCTGTAGCTGTAGTTGTTCTTTCTCAGTTTCCTAGAAAGCTTTCTAACCTCCCAAACATGGTTTCTTTTATTTCTTTCAGGGCTACAACAACTTGCCATATGTACTCCTGACTTGACCCTTCTCATGGTTCATGGCACGACCAATAGTTGATCCTGGATGCCAAAGGTGACCTTCTTGCTGTTACGGTGTTCTTTCTTCGTTACTACTGGAATAAGCCACCTTCTCCGGTTTTATTCAATTCGTAAATCAGAGAAATCCCAAATCTTTTTTGAATAGAATTGTCATACATAAGGAGGATATTCAAATACTTTTTATTACCAGTAAAAAGCGAAGATATCAGTCCAATTACCCTTTGTATCTGGCGGCCGGAGAAATCTTAAAGGAATCTTCCACGGACCATGGACCAGTGGGCGGGACCGGAAGTTTTTGTGACGAAATGCATGGTAGGTACGGATCCACGTGTCGAACGCACGAACGTGAACAGGATTCACTTCAAACCTTCCCATGAACGTGGATCCGTACCTACCATGCATTTCGTCGCAAAACCACTTCCGGTCCCGCCCACTGGTCCATGGTCCGTGGAAGATTCCTTTAATGGGGGAGACCGAGATAGTGTAGTGCAGGTAGTAAACATGATCCAAAAGGGAAATCTCGGAACGACTCTTGCCAAGCAAACCAAGCCTTCCACCCTTGGGGTTGGGTATTGGTACCAAATCTGTCTGGTAGGAAAAAACCACCAGTTGTTTACATTGGTATC